ACGCTGGGGTGGCCCCGGTGTCGTCGGTGGGCCGGGTGGTCGCTGACCTGGAGCTCCCAGCCAGTGGTCAGCTCGTGCCTGAACACACTTAGAACAAACTGGAATGCATGTAATTATATACTCACCAGAGGCCCGGTGCACGAATTTGTGGACAGGTGGGGTCTAATGGCCGTAGCTGCCGGCTGCTGGGTACTCCCTCTCTTCCCCTGGCTGGCCCGCCCCTGGTTGAACTCCTGGACGAACTCCTGGTTGAGGGGACAATTTGCATACTACGTTTCTACTAAAAGGATATTTGACGCATATTTAACACGAGATGGGCAGGAAGTGGGGTAAAAGGGAAGACAGTGGAGAAGTGACAACTTCACAAATACTTTACACTTGTCAGGGCGATTAGATGAAGGCTATGCTGTTTTGAAGGCAGAATTCAGCTCTATACACTTAAGAATATTTTAACTCCTAGTCATTCAATCAACAAGCTCAGTCAATCATCACTTAACATCGTTGTTAAGTTCTTCGACTTTAAGCGAAGCTGCCTATACGGTAAGCAGTTTTACGGTAGGCTGATCGATATAAACGAGTTGAGGTCCCGAATGCTGAAGGAATCAGACGTGCTTCGAGCACCTGCTGTGCCTGATGACACCAGGGTAGCTGCTAGAGGTGCAGCCCTTACTGAACAGGCACGTCCTCTCTTGGTGTCACCGCAGTCCGTGAGGGAGGCGTGCTCAGAGCTAATGGCATGGTGACACAGAAATACAGCCGCTAAGTGGCAACAGGACCCGACCTGGCCTGGAGCAGGCGGGAAGCTTCTCTGAGGTTTAAGCTGAGCTTTGAAGGGTGAAGACTTAGCTGGGGGTCTGCAGGTCCTGAAATGGGGGGTGTTTTGGCTGAGAGACTGAGGCCAGTGGGGTGCGTAGTTGGGGGAGCGGTGGTGGGGCTGAGGCGATGCAGACCACGGAGGGCCTGGCACTGGCTGTCCAGCCTTGGGGCTCCCGGAGTCACGCCCTGTGCCACACACAGTGGCCAGGGCTCCAGGACGGGTCGCCTCAAGTCGCCACGCAGCCCAGGAGTGAGGAAGAGGCCATTGCTCTTCTCGCTGTGCGGACGGGGAGCTTAGGGTCAGACATCAGAAGTCCCACAGCCAGCGCTGGCAGAGCGTGACTCCAGCTCGGAACCTCTGATGCTGCAGCCTGTGCCGACCCTTCGCTACTGACCATCCGTTTATCGCTCAGCACCCAGACTGTCAAAACAGAGTGCCCGTTCCGCACCATCTGAAGAATTTCCCCGCAGCCAGCCGATTGGAAATGCAGACGCAGACGACAGGGAGGGAGGCCCAGGGCCGCCTCTCAGGGCGGGGTGGGAAGGAGGCGGAGCCACGGGACCTGGGCTCCCTCCGATTGCCTCTGTTCACTCTGCTGTAAGCTTATGTCCATGTGTGTGCTTTCCTCCAGTGACCATGAGAGGCGCCAGGCTGACAGCACTGGAAACCGAATTACCACTTGTCCTCAGAACAGGTAAGGTATCAGCTCCGTCCACTGGTTGGGGGGACAAAGGGGAGCTGCTCCCTCCCCTCCTTTGTGCACCCCCTGAACCACAGCCACTCCCCACATGTGCACGTACACTTCTTCATTGCACTTGCTAGGGCTGTCTGCCCCTCATGGCACCCTGCACTGAGGTGCTTGGGAAATATTTGAATGAGTTTAAAAAGGAGAGATGCTTCCTGGCTGGTGTTGCTCAGTGGTTAGAGTGATGGATTGAGCACCGGAGTGTCTCAGGTTCGATTCCAGGTCAAGGGCACAGAAGTTTTAGGTTTGATCCTCTTGGTGTGTGCGGGAGGCAACCAATCGATGTGTCTCTCTCACATCAATGTTTCTCTCTCTAAGTCTCTCTCTCTTTCTTTCTCTCTCTTCCCTCCCTTCCTTCTAGTCTCTAAAAATCAGTGGAAAAAATATCCACCTGTGAAGATAAGCAAAGACAACAACAAAAATAAAAATTAAAAAGAGAGATGTTCTAATCATGGTACTCATTTCAAGAGCTTATGCTTGGACTCCTGTGAGGGCTTTCTGGAATATCAGAAACTCTTAAACTTTGCTTACCTAAATGAAGAATCTCACACAATATTTCTATTTTTTTCTAGGGACTAGAAAAGATGGTTAAAATTTAGAATTTTAGAACCAAACAGAAAAGCTTGTTGCCAAAAATGTTCTCATTTGCTTTGGCTTCTGTAAAGCGTTTGGAAGGAGCAGGCTTCCAAAAGCAGCCGCATATGCCTACAGCATATTTACACACCGAGCAGCAAGCTGGGTGTCCGGCTGGCCCGCCTGGCCACTGCCCGCTGCTGGGCTGGCGCCGTCTTTGTGTAGGACTGAGTTCCTGTCCCTCTGCCCTGGGCTGTTCCTCTGGAGGACCGGCCCCGACAGGGCGGTCTCTGCGCGCAAAAGACAGCATCTCCCGGGACTAGGCCAGTCAGCAGCAACATCAATGGAACAAAACCGGCCTTACGGACAGCATACTTTAGATCGGAGCGTCCTCTGCTTTCCCTGGAGTAGAAGTGAGCTCGGGGCTAGGCCGGGAGACGTGCTGCTGAGGGTTACCATCCAAGTGGGTCCCAGGTCTGCGCCCGGTGCTCCCTCCCAGCGAGTGCTCTGCGCTCGGTGCTCCCTCCCAGCGAGTGCTCTGCGCTCGGTGCTCCCTCCCAGTGAGTGCTCTTCGCGCAGGGCCGGTGCTGAAGTGTGACTGCCATCCTCCCACTCAGGCCGCTGCAGGCTGGTGGTTTTGCACTTATTTTTCTAGTGTTTTTTTTTTTTAATTTTTTAATTAAATGGGTTGGGGTGACATTGGTCAGCGTGAACATACAGGTTCCAGGGTCTTTACTTACAGCTGCATTTGATCCAACTCCGCACGGTGACCTCGGTGTCTCTTCTCAGTTTTGAACTCTTCTGTGATGCAGTCTTCCCAGCTGCCCTTACCGTGGCCCTTTCACGCTGACCTGCTTTGTGATTTACCTGAAAGATTGTTGTTTCTGGGTGTGACCCCGCAGCTTCCTGTTTCATGATTTGCTATCCGAAATGCATTCAGACATTTTAGTTCATTTTTCTGGCTAATGAACTTATGACTCAAAGAGCCAAATCAGTGTCTATTAACCAGGTTATAATTAAACAAGAGCGTAGATGGTTAATACGGGTTTCTAGGATCATTGCTACTCTAAACTTGCCATGCTAGGAGGAGATAATTTACATATATATATATATATATATATTGATTTTTTACAGAGAGGAAGGGAGAGAGACAGAGAGAAACACTGATAAGAGAGAAACATCGACCAGCTGCTTCCCGCACATTCCCTACCAGTGATGTGCCCGAAACCAAGGTACATGCCCGTGACCGGAATCAAACCTGGACCCTTCAATCCCCAAGCCGACGCTCTGTCCACTGAGTAAAACCAGCTAGGGCAGGAGTTAACGCTTTAGCACCATGTTTCTCAAACGGCATGTACGTCACCCAGATAGGAATTCCCGGGGCTGCCTGTTAAAATGCAGGTTCCTGAGGCACTAAGACTAAGTGACATGTCTGCTCCTTGGCCTGGGAACTTGGCCAACTGTGTTCGCTTTACCACGTGACTGCGGCAAACTCCTCTTTTTTGAGTGTCCATATTCTCATCTGTAAAGTAGGGTAAGAATGCTCACCTCCGAGAGCAGCTGTGAGGGCCGGAGCCACACACTCACGGACTGTCACATCGCGGGGCTTGGGGTTTGGGTCAGCCAGCTCAGGGCTCCCCTTACAGTTCTCCCCTGGGTTCCTCCTGCTAGCTCTGTGACCCCGAGCGGAAGGCCTACCCGGCTTCTCTCCCTATGAAAATGGGACGGAGACCACTCACACTGGGAAAGGGGTGTGTCTGATGGTGTCCGTGGGAGGTGAGCAGCGCCTGTGGGACACGTGGCCGTCATTGCCTGGTTTGGAAAACAGCTGTAGAGACCACAGTGGGAGAAATACATGGTGTGTGTACAGCCACGCTCGGCGAGTGAGCTGCTTTTCGTATGTGCAGATGGTGCAGCTGGTCCCCTGCCCTAAAGGACTGAGCTTTGAAGGTGAAGTTTGCCCTGATGCCCCTTTGCTGAGCCGGCGGCATGAGGCGTGCACGCTCCAAAAGGAGAAACGACGCCTGGTTCGCACGCTGAGGACAGGAACCGTGTCCGTGGGTTACACATACACGCATGCAAGTTCTTTGGTTGATCACTTCCACCAGCGTTTTCTTCCTGACCATCCTCCAGTTCTCTAGTAAAAGTGAGCAGAGCCGGTTAGGGCCTCAGCCCCTGAGGACAGCACCTGGGACCTAACCGGCTGTACTAACCTGTAGACATGGGAGCAATTGTCAGGAAGGAATGCTGGTGGGAAGTGACCAACCAAAGAACTAGTTTGCATGCATATATAACTCCTGGACACAGACGATAGGGTGTGAGGCCTTGGGGGGGGGGATTGGCTAGAAGGGATCAATGGGGGGAAAACGAGGACACAAGCAATGCTTTTAACAATAAAGATTAATTTTTTTAAAAATCAGAATTAAAAAAAAAATACTATACTGTTCCTTTTTGCAAACGTTTACCTACTTTTACGCACTGATTTGAAAAATAAACACTATCTTAGCCAAAACCCAAGGCAGAATCAGAAGTAGAAATAACTCCGATTTGGTTCTTTTATGAAGTTGCGGTGACAGTCGGTTCTGGCGTGTGGTTTTGGTTTCTCTCTGGCTGTAGCACTGCTCTCTGTGGGTTTGTCACGGGCAGGGTATTCTCACGCCCGCGGTACTCCCTGACAGCGCTCTGCACACATTTCGAGGCATGGGATGCGTGCGCCGCCCTGCCTTCCAGGTAGCTGTTGGCGGGAATGTGAGGCTGTGTGGTCACTCTGTCTTCCTTTTCCCAGTCTGGTAGTGGCACCAATGGAGAGCCTTCAGCGTCTGTAACGAACGTCCTGGACCCGGCACAGCACGTCCGTGTGGGAAAATGGCCCAACAAGCCAACCTCGGGGAGCTGCTCTCCACGCTGGACTCCCCGGTGCTGAGCGAGCGTGATGAAGTCACGGCCATCTTTAAAGAGAACCTCAATGCTGGTGAGTGAGAGCAGGTGCTTCTTAGCTCGTCTGCCGGTCGGCAGAGAGCGACTAGAGCTGAGCAGAACCCTGCGGGCAGCTGCGGTGTCACTTCTCTGGAGCCTTTAAAGCCCTAGAAAGAGCTCGCCATGGTGGAGGCCCTGTCAGTGTGTGTCCAGCTTCTCCTTCAGAACATCCAGGTGTGCCCACAGACACACACACACCCAGGATCCCACAGTGAGCCCGCACCCGGCACCCGAGCTTCTGCCATTCTTTTTTAAAGTATATTTTTACTGATTCCAAATGAGAGGAAGGGAAGAGAGAGAGAAACATCAATGACGAGAGAGAATCATTGATTGGCTGCCTCCTGCATGCCACACACTGGGGTTCGAGCCCCAAACTCGACCATGTGCCCTGACCGGGAATTGAATAGAGATCTGGTTCTGTTCATAAGTCGATGTTCAACCACTGAGCCACACTGGCCGGGCAAAATGAATTATCTTTTGTAATTAAAAAGTAATAATAAAATCTTAGCATTTCATGTGCTTATATGGTTATTTAGGCAAATAAAAAGAATCTAGCATTTCATGTGCTTATATGGTTATCTAGGCAAATAAATTTAGGTTTCCATTCGCTTAAATCTAAGTGAATGGAACGAAGCAGAGAGAGCTTCGTAGGACTTTGGGTAACGTATAGAGAAACATTTTCTGGGTTTTGTGACAGGCAGCGATGTGAGGTAAATTTAGAACATTAAAGGAAGTAACTATGGGAAACCACCTTCCTTTCTTTAGACCGTGGTCCGATGCTTGTGAACACCTTGGTGGATTATTACCTGGAAACCAGTTCTCAGCAAGTATTGCACATCCTGACTACCTTGCAAGAGCCACACGATAAGGTAACTGCAGACAAAGAGCAGAGGGTGGGAGGCGTTCTCCCGAGAGGGGTGCTGGCTTCTCTGTGCACCCCATGCAGGCTGCAGAGCTCGCCCCTCCCCCAACTTCTGCCTGCCGCCGCTCCTCCTTCGCAGGTGTCACCACGTGTCACCCGCAGGACCTGTGTACAAAGTGAGATACGTTCCAGAGTCTTTTTATCTTGCTGTTTAAAAAAAATCCTGGAATCCCTGTACTAGAATGGTACAGTGCCACTTCATAAAGTACCCCTTGTTAAACCCATGCGTTAAGTAGGGTTTTTCAACTTCTGATTAATGTGGGAAATCTTAAGTGCAAACTAACTGATGGATGAGTCCAGCTTCCCAGCTCCTGGAGGGCCCTTCCGTTCTGCTTAGCAGAGCACTGTGACGGCAGACTTGGGGCGTCTTGAGGTCATTGGCTGGTGACTTCTCCAGAATAGGAAGACCTTGTTCTTTTCGCTCGGGGCTGGATGTTAACTTCCGCTGCCCCTGATCTGTGCCTGGGGCCACACCAGGTGGCCAGCTCCCGTGACAGAGAGGGTGCAGCTCCAGCGAGGCCTCAGCTTCAGCGCTGCGGGCTGGGCGTGGTGAGGGTGAGGGTGGCTGTTTGTGCCTCAGAAGGAGGCTCCCTGCCTCGCCCCAGACCTGTATCAGGGGACCCTTTCTCAGGAAGTGCAGGCTGTCCTGTCTCAGGCCATATGGGTCAGTGTTTTGTTTGCCAACATGATTTAAATCTTGAACTTGACCCCTTTACCTGTGTGACCCTTGCCCTACATCTTGGGGGGTCAGGGGGTCACGGATCCATCCACTGGCCTTTGTGAGGGTCTCATACATGCACCTGAGGGTCTCCCTTGGTTCCCTTGATCCCCCCTCCTCCCAGCTTTATTGAGATACATTTCCCTGTTCTCTCACACTTCTAGCATCTCTTGGACAAAATGAATGAATATGTGGGCAAAGCCGCCTCTCGGTTATCCACGCTCTCATTACTGGGCCACGCCATCCGGCTGCAGCCGCCCTGGAAGCATAAGCTCTCTCAAGCACCTCTCCTGCCTTCTCTGCTAAAATGTCTCAAGGTACGGCGCATGTAAGAACTTGAGCGAAATGGCTTTGTGCGTGTCATTTCCGAAATGTTGAGACACTTCAAGCAAGCGCACTAGATTTTAAGCTTGAGAGTTTGAACACTGCAGGCATTTGGTGTTTCTCCGAGTGCAGAGTTGGGACTGAGGCCGTTGTCAGGGCATCACTGATGCCCAGTAGCTTTTGGCGAGCAGATACGGTAACGGTTCGGGTAGGTTGGTTCTCTTTCCTAAGCCTCTTCGGTGCCAGCCTTGGCGAGCCTTCCCTCAGGTGAAAATAGGCCGGCTCGCCTCTGGGAAGCCCGTTCCCAAGCTCCTTTTAGCTAATAGAGTGAGGCCTTAAAGGCCCGGTGCCACGGCTCCTGCCCGGTGCCTCCCGCCCGCCGCCGCCCGCCCGAGGTGTTCCTGCGCAGGGAGCACTCGTGTAGAGTGCCTGATAATTTGAGCACCGCACTGGCTTGCTGAGCTGCGCAGGGCTCTTTGTCAGTCTGTTCAGTTCCTGGGCTTATTTCTGGCGGGAAGTAAGGAAACATGGTTAGTGTGAAGTGCTCGCTCCTCCCAGAGACACGGGCGTGCGGAGTATTTATCTCGGCTCGTCCGGAACAGCACTCTGCGGGGGCTCATGTCTCTACCAGGGAGGGGACTACTACTGCCTTAGGGTCCCGGAGGTGAGACCCAAGGAGACACGTTGAAAGGTGTCATTAAAACATGCCTGTAGTATTGGGGAAAAGTAGGAATAGTTTTAGCAACTTTACTAAATTTTTAAATCTCCACCCAAGGATATGTGTTTATTGATTTTTAGAGAGAAGGAGAGAGAGAACTATCGATTGGTTGGCTCTCGTACATGCCCTGTTGGAGCCCCAGTAGGGTATTGAACCCGAAACCTAGGCATGTGCCCTGATAGAGAATCAAACACAAAACTTTTTGGTATACGGGACAATACTTTAACCCATCAGCCACTTGACCAGGGAAATAACTTAATTTTTTAAGCTAGTGGGTCAATGAGGATATAATCTAGTTTTGAGGCACCCCATTTAATTTAGAGTCTAAAACTACCCATCTTTTCCAAAAAATTACTTGAAAATTACTCGTGGGCTGTTCCCTGAGCCTTCAGTTAGATGTTATAAGACAAGAGTTAATCCTTTCTCGGGAACTCGTACGTTCTAACCACGTTTTTCATTCTTATCAGCAGATGGCTGCCATGATAGGTGCGGGCTTGATGTGAAAACTAAATATATTTAACGCTTCCTTTCCGAACCGATCGCTCCTTTTTAAGTAGGAATAATGAGAGTCTTATAGCCTCCACGGGCGTCTTGGTCACTAGTTTCTTAAATCCGAATTCCGGTCACTTGGCAAACAGCCTTGATGTGGTCAGGGCCAGGGGAGGCGCTGTCGCCATCCAGAGCTCAGGACCCTCGGCGTCAGGGTCTTCATGAGCCCGCAGTGAGCGACTCTGGGCAGGTCTGGTTGTAGACACGGTCAGAGGGAGGCCGCCATGCCGCCTTTATCTGCTGGTTTCTAAGCTCCATGAAGGTGAGCCGTTCAGGACCCTGTTCATGCTGAGCTAACTTCGTCTTAAGTTACACGTCTGTGATCCTTTGAAAAGTGTGTGACTTGTCCATGTGTAGTGGTTTGTGTAATTGACTGTAAAAAGGTAAGCATTTTAGGATTTGGCTGCCTGAACAAAAACAGCTGCATTCCTCTGTCCTGTTAAAAAGTAGCCGCCTGCTTTCACATCCTCGGGCTTGAGGAGTGGGCGTCGCCCCACGCAGGTTAAGCTCCCCCAGGTGCGGGTGGGATATGGGTGGGGGTGCGGGTGTGTGGTTCTGCCAGCTGCTGCAGCCGGGAGGCCCTCGTCATCCTGTGGAGACGGCTGCAGTGCTGTCCCTCAGCCTCCGGGGCCTTAGGGGGCTGAGTCTGAGCAAAGCTCTCATTGGGCCCGTGGTCCTCGGCGCCCCGAGGCACAGCCCTGCACCCACAGCTGCTTCTTCTCGCGCCCTTTCCTCCGCAGGTGGACACTGATGTCATCGTCCTCACGACCGGCGTCCTCGTGCTGATCACCATGCTGCCCATGATCCCGCAGGCAGGCAAGCAGCACCTGCATGACTTCTTCGACATTTTTGGCCGTCTTTCGTCCTGGTGCCTGAAGAAGCCAGGTGAGACCCCGAGCCTGTCTGGTGGTGCTTTCACGGACGAGCAGGTGGTGAGCGTAAGGGAAGGACGCTCGACCTCTGTTGCTGGCGTGGGCGTTGTCTCCAGCCAGACGAGGGACCAGCTGGCAGTGTCCGCTGCAGGCCGTGCGACGCCTCTTCCCTTGGCTTAAAGGGTTCCTCCTAAGAGTGGTCGGAGGGAGAGCTCCCTGCCAGACCGGGACATGCTTGCCTCAGCCCCTGTTCTGACAGGACACAGGCCCCTGGCCCAGGACCTGGTCCCGTGTGTGTGTGTGTGTGTGTGTGTGTGTGTGTGTGTGTGTAGGGAGGAGGGAGGACGCTGCACATCCCCACCTGAACTCGCATGTGTCGGGGCCACAGGGAGCCGCCCATGGATTTTCAGGGTGGCTGCGTGCTCACACTTGGTTGTAGAAAACCCCTCTCACTCTTGGGGGACCCGGGGGAGTGCCTGTAAGCAAGGCGTCGGGGGCAGCTTTTGGGCTCGTGTCTGCCAGGCCCCCGTCAGCCTGTGTCCCGCTGAGGCTCTGGACGCCCCTTTGCAGGCCACGTGGCGGAAATCTACCTGGTCCACCTGCACGCCAGCGTCTACGCCCTCTTCCACCGCCTCTACGGCATGTACCCCTGCAACTTTGTCTCCTTCCTGCGCTCCCACTACACCATGAAGGAGAACCTGGAGACCTTCGAGGAAGTGGTCAAGGTGAGCGGCAGCCGTGTGGCCCGTGGCCCTCACTGCCTTTGTTTTAGATTAGAGGGCGCTCTGGAAAGAGAGCCTTCCCCAGCCCAGGGCCCCCATCCCAGCCCTGAGCAGCCACGGCTCTGCCCTCTGCCTTGATGGACGTGCCTGCCCTGTGCCGTGTGGCCCTGTGACGGGCCCTTCCCTTCACGGCGCCCAAGCTCCCCTGTTGCAGCGTGCATCCGTGCTCGCTCCTCTTTCTGTCACATAATGTCCTGTCGTGTGGCGATAGCTAAGCCTTTTGCTTGTCAACCGGACCCTTCTAGCCAATGATGGAGCATGTGCGGATCCACCCGGAACTGGTGACCGGATCCAAGGACCTTGAACTGGACCCTCGGAGGTATGGAAACACCGGGTACTTCCCAGGCGCTCTGGCGAGATCGCAGTGGGTGGGGAGACGTCCTCTCGAGAGGTCATTGGGGATAAACCTGTTAGAGAAAACCAGCAAACCAGTGCGGATCAGACATCACATGGCGTTAGCTCTGACACACCTTCAGAACGGGGAGAGGTTTTCTCCCAGCCAGGTTAGCTGGTGGGGTGGGCGTTTTAGATACGCAAGGACTCACACCTGCCCCCATAGACCCTGTCTCCGCCGAGCCCCGGGCATGGGTTTCACCAGAATACCAGTGAGGTCCAGGGGCATGGCTTTAAATTGTCACATGTCATTGACTCTAAGATGCCATTGAACAACAGGATGTACTTGTGTTTTACTTTCTTTATACCCGAGAAAGAAAAAATACCGAATAAACCAACCTGTGACTGGCTAGCCTCTGCTTCCCAGTTTCAGAGAGATTACATATGGAAAGTCCCTGTAAGAATCAAGAAGTTACTGCAAGTGCTTTGGTTGAAATAAAACATCTCTGCGACATGCACTTCATTGTCTTTTCTGAGGTCCGTCTCTGAGTGTCTGTGTGTCTTGACACTTTCACTAATCACTTTCCAGCCGCTGAGAATGTGGGCAGGAGACTAGCAGCCGTGCCCCCGGTGTTACAGGCCGCCACTGAGACCCTCTCCTGCACTGACCCCAAGGCCCTGCCTCTAGGGCAGCTGCCTGAGGCCCCACAGCCGGCTCTTTCCTGTGTGTGACACCACAGTCCCCACATCTCAGCGAGGCTGAGCGGCCTAGAACAGTGGTTAGCAACAGAGCCAAATATCAGACGAAATCGGGCGTGTTCAAGGTGGTATGGCTGTAGACCAGAGCCAAACATCAACAGTACAACGGTGGAAATTTCTTTGGAGAGCCAAATGTTTTAAACTTCTAACGCCACTTCTTCAAAATAGACTCACCCAGGCCGTGGTATTTTGTGGAAGAGTCACACTCAAGGGACCAAAGAGCTGCATGTGGCTCGAGAGCCACAGCTTGCTGACCATGGGCCTAGAACCGTTGCGTCGGGCGGATGTTTCCTAGGGGAGCCGTGGCACAGCGGTGCTGCCGGGCTGCTCTCCATGAGCCTCGGAACACGGAGGCGAGAGCCCTGGGGTGACGAGTTACTTAGAAACAGGAGGACCGTTCTGCCTGAGCGAGCAAAGGCGTTCGTCTTCCATTCAGCGAATCTGGCAAACACAGGGAAGTAGAAGAAGGAAAGGAACGCACCCATGTCTTCTTCTCATTGGAATTATTGGTGGGAGCATATCCGTGTGTGTGTCTCCGAGTAGTTTTGTTTGTTTGGTTTTTAAATATATTTTCATTGATTTTAGAGAGGAAGGGAGAGGAAGAGAGAGAGAGAGAGAGAGAGAGAGACATCAGTGATGAGAGAGAATCATTGATCGACTGCCTCCTGCATGCCCCCTAGTGGGGATCGAGTCCGAAGCCCAAGCACGTGCCCTTGGCCGGAATCAAACCTGGGACCCTTCAGTCTGCAGTCCAGTGCTTTATCCACCGAGCCACACCAGCCGGGGCTCCGAGTAGTTTTGTGTACTTGTGTAAAATTATATCCTGAGCATTTGCTCACTTAACCTGTGAAAGCATGGTTTGTAAAGCCCGCTTTAGGAAGGGACAGTTCATCCGTTTTGTTAGGTTTGGACAAAAGGCTCACTCGCCACAGAAGATGCTCTGTTGCCCAGGAAGCCCCTTCCAGCCCTCCCTCCCTCCCCCTGGATGGCCACGGGCCTGCTGACGGGTCACGGTCTTTCCTCTGCAGAGTCTGGCTGGGCTTGGGGCTGCTTCCTCCCTCTTCCCATCACGAGCTGTGCTGTGCTGTGCCAGGCCGGTGCACATCGCCACGCGTGTCTCTCTCCATGGGCCGTGCTCTTAGTGCAGAACCTTGGCTCCCGGACGAGAGCCCTGAGACATTCTGTGCATTTCCCGCGGCTGCTCCCGGGCGGGACTTTTGGCCCATGTCTGTGGCCTGGGGACGGTTCGGAATCCTGGCACTTTGGCCCGGGGCCTCCCTGATTTTTGGTCACCTTTGTTCCAGCGGAGATTTCTCCTGGCGGCTGCTCTGCGCGGTGTGTGTTCTGTTTTGAGCCAGGCCTAGTCTTTGTTGACAAAGTTTTTCTTTCAGTTTAGTGCCTGGTAGATGGATAAACCACTTTAAATAGGAGGATAAAGGTTTATGAAATGAATGCCTGCTTTCTGGTCAGTACTTCTCGGGCTGGTGTGGCCCTGCCTCGCTCTGCGCTCATCACGCGTCAGTGGCTGGCTGGAGTTAGCACGCGTATGTATCTGATCGATTAAACAGGCTGCAGCTTGCGTTTCTTGACTTCCTTTGCCTTTTACAGGTGGAAGAAGTTAGAAACCCACGATGTTGTAATCGAGTGTGCCAGAATCTCTCTGGACCCTACAGAAGCTTCGTACGAAGACGGCTATTCTGTGTCTCACCAAAACTCAGCCCGCCCGCCCCCTCGTGCAGCCGACGTCACCGCAAGCCCTTACGTGGACCCGCAGAACAGCTTCGGTAGGAGGGGCTCCGGGACGCATTGTTGATTTTTGCTGACTTTCTTGTTCTTTTCCTAGAAGAAGACTTGGGTCGGCTTCCCAAATATTTAAAATTCGAATTTGCCTCCATTTCTGCCGATTATTCCTTCCTCCAAGTGTGATTTAGGCCCATGTCCTCGGCCTCCTGCCTGATCATGTGCAGCAGACTAGCCGTGTCTGCGATGCTTAACAAGGAAGGTGGATTTAAGTGTTTGACTTCCTGTGTGTAAGGGAGTCTTCCTCCTCTTCCTGCACGTGAGGCCCTCTGGGCCGCAGCACTGCCGTGTGCCCGGGTCTGCACGGAGGAGAATTGGGGTGGCACAGAGTCCAGACTGCTCTGCAGGCAGCCCCACTGGGGCATCGCCCGGCCCTGCCTCAGGTTTCCCTGCAGACCCCCCTGCACTCGTTCCCAGGATGCCAGCGCCCTCAGCTGTGCTTTAAATGAGAGCACGGACTATTGTTGGGAGTTGAGAAGACGTATTTTTTAAACAAATTCAATTTGAGAGAGAGAGAGACACCAATGCATCATCCGCCATCCATGCATTCATCGGTTGCTTCTTGTCTGTGCCCTGACTGGGGACCAGCCCCCGTTGGTGCTCCAACCAGCTGAGCCTCAGCGAGGACGCGGTGCCCAGGTGTTCCGTCAGCACCGCCAGGCCACACGGTGAGGCGTGTGCTCTTTCCCTTTCATTGCAGGGAGCGTGACTTCCACCCCGCACTCCGCGTCCCGGCCGATGTCCAGCACACCAGGGCAGCTACCTCCGCCTCTGAGCTCCCCTGCGCCGCGGCTGTGCGCCGAGGCCCCGCAAGTACGGTCCCGAGCGCACCTGTGTCTCCTCTGCTTGCCGCCGGCGCGGGCCATTGGGGTCGGGCATTGGCACGTGGTCGGGGAAATCTCACACTGCTCCTTTCAGGAAGTTATTCTTAAGGCTGGTTTCCCTTGGAGTCCAGACTTACAAATGCAGCGTGTCCCTTGGTAGAGCTTTAACGAGGTGCCTCTTTTTTCTGGCTGGCAGTGGCCACTGCCCAGGGACGTACAGCTGGGTGAGTGGTCCCTGCTCATCCCGACATGGTTATGCTTCCCAGGCTGCTCTCTGGAGCCCATCCCTGGTGTGCGGCATGGCCACGCCTCCCACCTCTCCTGGAAACGTGCCGCCTGACTGCGCCCAGCCCTACAGCAAAGCCTTCGGGGCCCCTGGTACGTCTGCCTCGGGTGGGCTTGTGGGTGGGGGTGGGCCTGCCATTTGTGACCAGGAACAGCCTCGGTCTGACTGTGTGTGGGGACTTGCAGCAGTGAACCTGATGTTGGCACTACCTCAAACCTTGGGGGCTTCTGGAACATGCAGAGTGAACCCAGACACCAGAGCCTGGCCTGGAGCTCCCACAAGTGATCGCTGGCAGCTTTCCTCATGGCGACAGGCCGCCAGGAACTCGGCCGCTCAGCAGGCGGGCCCAGTGACTGCTCTCTGCCCTTGTCTCTGAGCAGGTGGAAAGGGAACTCCCTCAGGAACCCCGGCGACCTCCCCTCCGCCCGCCCCGCTCTGCCACTCGGATGACTGCGTGCACGGCCCGTGCCCCCCGCCCACAGCCCCACACACCCGGAAGGTATGCTCGGGTCGCCCCCTGCCCTAGCACGGTGGCTGGCTGCTCGCTCACTGTGCCCTGGATGTGGCGGCCTTAACCAGAACAGCTGGCACAGAGCAGCTGGCAGCTCTCCCCGCGGGCAGCTGCCGCGGCTGGAGCCCTTCCTGGGGCCCGCGGGCAGAGGTGCCGGCGCGGTGACACTAAGCTGACCTTTGGCCCTTGGCCGCGTGGAGCGCCTGGGATAGAAACGCCTGGTGGGGAACGCCTGGCCCCTCAGCGCGACTCAGCAGGGGCCCACAGTTTGTTTCTGTTTAAAAGAAAAGAAAAGCCAAAAAACTAACTTAAGATTTTGTGCGAAGCAGTGAAAGTCGTCAGTCAGATCTTGGCCTTTGGGAACGTGATTGCGTAACTCCCTGTAATGGAAGAGGACATGCGTGTAAGCTCCGCTCACACCAGGTGGCGTGACCTCAGGCACCGTGCGAGGGCCGGGCCGAGAGCTGACTCGGCGCTCTTCCTCCTGAAGCTCTGGTTCATTGGAGCGCTGGCTGGCACTGGTGTTCAGACCCGAGTGTGGCCAGCAGTTAGTTTGTTAGTCTGTCTCTTCCAGATAAACAACTGGCAGTATTTGCTGCCAGTGATAACATTCAGCTCCAGGTGAAATTGGAATATTAAGACACTGGCATCTGCCCTCCTGTGACATGGGAGGTCAGGCGAGCAGGGCTAGGCCTTCGTGTTGTCAGTGTTGAATGGTGAATTGTTTCAGCTGCATGACCCGGTGAGCCAGTCTCTGCCAAATGCCCAGAGATCGATGCTCGAGCCTCATGCGTGGTGAAGGCGCTTTCGTGTACATGCCTGTTCTTTTAAAAAAATATATTTTATTGATATTTTACAGAGAGGAAGGGAGGGGAAGAAACATTGATAAGAGAGAAACATTCGTCAGCTGCCTCCTCCACAGCCCCTACTGGGGATATGCCCGCAACCAAGGTACATACCCTTGATCAAAATCGAACCTGGAACCCTTGAATCCACAGGCCTACACTCTATCCACTGAGCCAAACCAGTCAGGGTTAATGAATATTCTTAAAAGATTCACTTTTAATTCCTAATCCAGTAACTTCCAGGAGATAGAACACAACCCATAGACAGGAGGTCCTGGGTTCTCCATAGTTTAAGGACATCAAGGCGTCCCGAGACAAACAGCTCTCTAACCTGACAGCGCAGGTACATGGGGGCTTCTCTTACGTGGAGGCCGGTGCTCAGCCTCGCGAGTGACGTGCACATGCCCATCTTTGCAGGAGGAGAGAACAGATCCGGCCCGGCCCTGCCTGCACAGACAGCACCATCTTCCCAACGACCGCGGGCTAGGTAACGTCTCCTCTTGGCTTACGTGTGGGGACGGAAGTCCTGGAAGGCTGCAGACCCCCGAGGCCAGAGACACCAAACCTGCCCTTTGCCCCAGAGGCCGCCTAACAGTGACAGCTTCTCAGCCAGCGCAGGGGAGCACCCGTGTGCGGGCTGCCAGCCGTGGCTTTACCTGTTCGCAGAGCATCAGGGACAGAGAGTTTGCCTCCTGGGCTGGTGTTTGCACCCTTAGCGTGGGCAGGGTCAGGGCTCTGCCCCCGGAGCGCCCTTCCAGCCTGTCGGCCCAGCAGGGAGCGTTTCGGTCCCAGTGGTTTCCAGCGTGTCCTCTGACTCAGGTTGTCTGTTTCTAGAAGAACTTCCTGGCAGCAAAGAACTTCCTCTCAGTGACCTTCCCGGGTTCTTAGGCGGCCTGGCCTCCGAAGAGGACAGCATTGAGAAGGACAAAGAGGAAGGTAACCTCCGGGCTCCTGGCCTGGGGAGGCTGTGAGGTGGTAAAGCTGAACCCGGGCCTCATGCCAGCGCACCGGGCTGGCGCGGTGTTTCTCCTCTCGGGGAGCAGAGGCGGCAGGTGCACTCTGGGCCCAGCGCCAGGTGAAGGGATGCCATTCTGCAATGTCCTGTGGGTGGCACTGCCTGGCCTTCCCAGGCGGCCTGCTCACCTGGTGTCTCTGTCTCCCTCCCTCCCCTCAGCGGCAATTTATAAAGAACTTTCTGAGATCACCACAGCTGACACCGAGCCTCTGGTTCCTCGAGGAGGCTTCGACTCTCCCTTCTACCAGGACAGTCTCCTGGGCTGTCCCAGGAAGACCCCGTCAGCCACCGCCGGCGCGCAGGGCACCAGTGTGCACCCCGAGCCTCTCAACTCGTCCCTGGACAAGCTGGGGCCCAACACACCAAAGCAAGCCTTCACCCCCATTGAGCTGCCCTGCGGGGGCCCTGACGAGAGTCCTGCCGGGAGCAGGGAGTGCCAGACCCCCCCGGAGCCCAGGATCCTCACTCCCAGCCCTTTCAGAGTTCCGTCTCAGAGGGGTGCGGGCCTCGGCAGTGGGCAGCCCCCGCCCTACGATCATCTCTTTGAGGTGGCGCTGCCCAAGGCTGCCCACCATTTCGTCAGCACAAAGACCCAGGAGCTCGTCAAGAAGGTGCCAGGAAGCGCAGAGGGAGCCTGGGTGCCCTCTGCCTCCCCCCTGGAGGTGCTGGACAGGCTGATCCAGCAGGGCGCTGATGCGCATGGCAAGGAGCTGAGCAGGTGAGGCCGCTGAGAGGGGCTCCGTCCTCCGCAGGGTCTGTCCCAGTGACCTGAGAACGTGGGAGGGCGCAGGCAGAGTGCTCCGTCCGGGGGCTGTGTCCTGCACACGTGCACACTGAGATGGATCGTCCTCGCGCCCGTTTTGACACGAGTCTTCCTGCCTCTGCATAGGCTGCCTCCACGGTCAGGCTCCACGCTTGCTCTCGCAGCGGAGGGCGAGGTGGTGACATTTCAGATGCAGGCATGTTAGCCACAGGCCCCTCTGCTAGCCAAGCGCTTCTGTTTGCTGCCAGCACTCATCAGGTGGCAGCTAAATCAGCCTTTCAAGCAAGCTCAGGTCCCGCCCCTGGCGCGGCGCTCGTGATTTCTTAGAGATCTGTGGGGACACTCTTCAACCCTTCTTTCTTTTAACCCTTCTCTTCTTTATTATTTTTTTTTTTCTCAACCTTTCTTTTTATCACCCTTTTCAAAGGAGGTCCAAGGCAGGCATGAGGGAAGTTTGAATTCTCGGCCATTTCTCAGCAGGTTCTTGGGAAATGTTAGTTTTCATTTGCCTTCTGTATAATAACCTAAGGCAGAATTTGACAGAGATTGTAATAGTTAACATTTCTCTCTGTCTTCCTTTTTAAGATTGATTTTGGATTGGGGGGGGGGGGAGGAGAAATAATTGTAATCTGAGCAATAAAGATCTATTTAATTTTTAAAAAATTATATATATATATATATATATATATATATATATATATATATATATATATATATGTAAAACAAGATTGATTTTGGAGAGGGAGGAAGAGAGAAACATTGATGTGAGAGAAACATCATTCAGTTGCCTCCCAGACGCGCCCTGATGGGGAACTGAACCTGCTATCTTCTGGTGTACAGGACAGCCCACTGAGGTGGTGCTCTGACCACTGAGCAACACCAGCCAGAGCTAAGATTCCGCGTGCCCCCTTTGCCTCGCCTTTTTTTTTCTTCCTAAAATATATTTTTCTATTGATTTCACAGAGAGAGTTAGGAACATCAGTGGTGAGAGAGAAGCATGGATCGGCTGCCTCCTGCACACCCCACAACCCAGGCCTGTGCCCTGGCTGGGAATTGAACTGTGACCTCCTGATTCGTAGGCGGATGCTCAACCACTGAGCCACGCCAGCTGGGCTAAGATCATATTTTAATGACATTCAGGGTAGTAGGCCCAGGTAAACTACCTCCTTTTTCCCTTAAACTCGGTGACAGGAGTGTCTCAACCCAGAGCTGCTCTCCATGTGTTTCGGTTGAGGATTGAAAACGGGCAGCTCTCACATGTTTGGTCCCCAGTCACCTTGGAAGCTGAGCGGAACTCGCCAGCCACACAGTGGGCTCTGGGCGCGGCCCGTGGCCTCGGCCTTCCCTCCGGGGGCTGTCAGGCTCCCCGGCTGGCTCCACAGGGACTGGGGGCAGGCTTTCCTGTGCCACGGGAGGACCTGACCTTGCTGAGGGACAGTTCCAGGTACGTAAGACCGTAACTCTGTGCTTCAAACCTTTCTCCCCAGGCTGTCTCTACCCAGCAAGTCTGTCGACTGGACCCACTTTGGAGGTAAAGTTGTTACTTCCGCTCCAGATCCAGCCCCCTGGGCCTGCCCCCTGCCGCCTTCCTGTCCACGAGGGAGGTGCTCTGTAGGAAGCAGATTCCCGCTTGGCTCCTGTTCCAGCCACGTAACCGTGTGCTTGCTAACAGGGATGTCAGTGCTGTCCAGTCCACGCTCCTTTGTGGAGAAGTGCAAAGACCACGCGCTTCGCAGTAGAATTGCGGGAAGTGCAGGCCCCACGCTGAGCCCCCAGTGCAGGGGATGGTCCTGGGGAGTTCAGGGAACGGACCGGGAGCGGAGAAAAGGGAGCTCAGGTGTGGACGCAGAGGGTCCAGTTTGTGGGGAAAAGGGAAGCATGCTGTGTCCCCGCGTTGTGCCCTTAGTAAGGGACGGAGGTGGTGAAGCTTCACGCCCGTGGGCGACTGCAGGGAGCCCCCGGGTCCTGGCCAGGGGCGGCAGTCTCTGTAAACACTGTTTCCTGGGTGACAGACCCTGGGGGGCTTGGTTGAACGCCAGGTAAAAGGCCTCTCTGCCTCCTCCCTCTGCTTTAAAACCAGGCTCTCCCCCCTCAGATGAGATCCGCACCCTCCGGAACCAGCTGCTCCTGCTGCACAACCAGCTGCTCTACGAGCGATTCAAGAGGCAGCAGCACGCCGTCCGGAACCGGCGGCTGCTCCGCAGGGTGATCCGGGCGGCGGCTCTGGAGGAGCACAACGCGGCCATGGTGAGCGCCGGGGCGGTGGGGTGGGGTAGGGCCCTTCGCTGCGGTGGGAGCAGCCCTGAGCCGGGTCACTTCCCGCCCTGGTTCCACTCCCGCCTTGTCTCTGAGTCTGAGGTTCGCATGCGAGTGGCTGCCTCTCTGGGCTCCGCAGCTCTTGGAAGCCGCGGGGACAGCTGCTTTTTTGTGTGTGTGCGCGTGTGTGTGTGTGTGTGTGTGTGTGTGTGTGTGTGTGTTTTAATTTCTTTATTGATTAAGTATTACATGTGTGTCTTCATCCCTTCATTAATCCCCCAACCCACCCCCCCCCACACTCATGTCCTCACAACCCTGGTGATCATGTCCATTGGTTCGGCTTACATTCATGCATACAAGTCCTTTGGCTGTGTTTTTTGTTGATCTGTCATTGGCTGTGGTGATAACAGGGCCAAAGGTTATTTTGTTTTCCCAAATGTGACAGCAGCTCTCCTGAAGCTGTTTTATGGCCCCAAATGTGTGGCACGTAGTGCAGCCAGTTGGACCTGGACACTGGCCATGGCTCTGCCACTTGGGAAAGTAGGTGAGCCCGTGGCAGCGGCCACCCAGCGGGTAACTAAGGAGTGACCCGCTGGCCGGGGCGAGCGGCGTGATGTGCATCCCTTCAGTGACCTGAGGGCAAATGTGGGAGCCCCAGAGCTGGAGCCCAGCCAGACAGCGGGCGGTCCGGTCCTGGGCCTGCAGCATGGTTAAAGGGCAGCTAAGACCTGAGAAGATATGTTTGCATTTGAACTTGAGCATCACCGCCCAGGTGGGAAGGCAGCTAACATGACGACATCTTTGGTCTCTGCCAGAAAGACCAGTTGAAGTTGCAGGAGAAAGACATCCAGATTTGGAAGGTCAGTCTGCAGAAAGAGCAAGCCAGGTACAGCCAGCTGCAGGAGCAGCGGGACACCATGGTCGCCCAGCTGCACGGCCAGATCCGGCAGCTGCAGCACGACCGGGAGGAGTTTTACAACCAGAGCCAGGAGCTGCAGGTACGGCTGTGCGGGCGCCCCCGCGGGCACCCCCAGGTGCTCCCACTGAGGCGAGCCCTTTCCCCGGCTCCAGGCCCACTGACTTAGGGAGAGGTCCCCGCTCCCTCGGTGTCAGCGTTTTTCCCGTCTCCGCAGCCAGAGAAGTTCTGCTTCTCAGGTGGATCTAAGGAACTTGGTGCTGCTTGTCCTGACAGCCTAGTAGCTGTTTAAAGTAACCTACATAAATTTTTTAAAAAATATATTTTATTGATTTTGTACAGAGAGGAAGGGAGAGAGAGAGTTAGAAACATCGATGGGAGAGAGTCATCGATCAGCTGCCTCTTGCATACCCCCTACTGGGGATATGCCCGCAACCAAGGTACATGCCCTTGACCGGAATCAAACCCCGGTCCCTTCAGTCCCCAGGCCAGGTCCCTTCAGTCCCCAAGCCGACGCTCTATCCATTGAGCCAAACCGGTCTTGGTGAAAGTAACCTACATAAATTTAAGAAAGCTTTAGTTCCCTTTTCAGTGGCACAGCCTTTTGCCTGTGCTGTGTGCGCCCTGGAACACCGCAGGTGCAGGCCCTGGGCCCCTGGAAGGTCCCGTTTCCCACCGCTTTTGCCTCGTGATCTGGTTCATTGACCACCTAACGCGCAGCTTTGCAGAGAGAGGGCCACATCCCACGAAGGACCTCCAGCCGGTAGTGCACGTGATGACCAGCAGGTGTCGCTGTGTTTTCCTCAAAAATAAACCCTCCGGCCTGGTTCAGGGGCGTTTGCTGTCCTGCTCCAGGCTCTTTGGTGCAGTTTGGGGTCTGGGAGTCTGAGGCTTTGGTTAAACAAGCCAGGAACTCGCCACAGCTTATTTTTTGCAACTAAGACTTATTTCCTGATGGGCCACTGAGGGAGCAGGGGCCGGTTCCCGGGCGGGCGGCTGCTGGTGCTCTGAGCCTGGTCTCCCTCCCTGCGCAGACGAAGCTGGAGGACTGCAGGAACATGGTGGCGGAGCTGCGCCTGGAGCTGAAGAAGGCCAACAGCAAGGTGTGCCACACGGAGCTGCTGCTCAGCCAAGTGTCTCAGAAGGTGAGAGGGCGCCGGCTGGCCCCTCGCTGGCCGCCTCCACAGGGACAGTGCTGCTTGTGTGTCAGTAAGGGGTCCCCAGCAGGGGGCGCGCCTGTCCCTTCCTTCCAGGGGGCAGCGGTCAGGTCTGGAGACATTCCGGTGTGACGGTGGAGGGGCCATGCTGGGAGCTGCTGAGCCTGTTATAGTGTCCTGGAAGGCCCTCTCCGCACCTGTGTGAAGTTGGTTCGGAGCTTTGAGCGTGAATCTCTCAGGTTCGCTGCGCTGCTAGAAATCAGAGTCAGGAGCGGCCAGTCTTCCCGGGACCGAGGCCCTGCTGCGGTCCTGCCCCCTTTCCCCGCGGCCTATGGTGGTCGCTGGCACATCTCCCTTGTCGCTGGCTCCGTTTAAAGTGCGTTTTTGTCCGTTTCATCGCCCCTGGAGGCCCCTCCACACCAGCTGAGGGGTAGGAATTGCAACCCCAGAGCTATGGACTCCGCCCTGGCGCTCAAGTGGAGAGCTGCTGCCCCCCAGTGGCCGCTTCCAGCATGCGCGGGGGGTCTTTCACTGCCTGTCTCTGTGTTTGGCCAGCTCTCCAACAGCGAGTCGGTGCAGCAGCAGATGGAGTTCCTCAACCGGCAGCTGCTGGTGCTCGGGGAGGTCAACGAGCTGTACTTGGAGCAGCTGCAGAACAAGCACTCGGACACCACCAAGGTGGGTGGGGCGCGGGGCGGGGGTGGGCGGCCCTCACTGGTCACCGAGCAGTTTTGTGACTCGTTTCCCAAAATGGCGCTGTGGTCCTGGTGCCCATCCCCCTCTCCCCGGCCTGGCCATGCAAGCACTTCTCGGCATCACACGAGCCTGCTTCCCCCGGGCCCCTTTGAGGTTAAGTCAGGTGTCAGTGCAGCCGCTGGTGGAAGTGGCACCGAGGAGGAGATGTTCCCTTCTTCACCCAGGCCCCCCTGGTGGGAGGGGAGCCGGGTCTGGCACGGACAGCTGTGCCTGTTCTCCCTGTTGTGGCGTTTCAGCAGCTGGTGGCTCGCGCGGTGGCCAGGCCAGCGACAGGCCGTTCTTATGAATCAGTGGCTCTTCAGTGCGTTGGGACAGTTTCGTGCCGGTATAGACAGCCAGGTAGTGTGAGTGAGTGAGCCGGGAGTGAGGGCCATAGCACACACTCAGGTGTTTCCATCACCCCGTCTCCGTCACCCACGCCCACCTCCACGCTGTGTGAGGGCTCAGACCCAGAGGCTGGCTCATCCCGGGGCTGCCCCCGAGCCTGCAGCCCGCAGCCCGCAGGCCAGGCTCCTCCAGAGGGAAGGCCGGCCACACGGGAGTTCATCCGGAACCTGGCTCCCACTTCCTGGGCGTTATAACTGCTTTGGTGAAAGAACCGGGAACCACAGGCCGAGAACCTCTGAGGAGTTTACTCAGGGCGCCTGCCGGGCCTGGGGTTCGAGCACCTGTGCGCCCTCAGTGCCCTGGCCTGACTCGGCCCCTCCCCCAGGAAGTGGAGGTGATGAAGGCTGCGTACCGGAAGGAGCTGGAGAAGCACCGGAGCCACGCGCTCCAGCAGAGTCAGAGGCTCGACACCTCCCAGAGGCGGGTGCTGGAGCTGGAAGCTCAGCTGGCCAAGAAGGACCACCTCCTGGTGGAGCAGAAGAAGTACCTGGAGGACGTGAAGCTCCAGGCCAGGTAACACGCGGGAGGGGCCTGCGGGGCGCGGGGGCGGCAGGGTCCCACTGGCCGCTGTGTCTTCCAGGGGCCAGCTGCAGGCCGCCGAGAGCCGGTACGAGGCTCAGAAGCGCATCACCCAGGTGTTTGAGCTGGAGGTCTTAGACCTGTACGGCAGGCTGGAGAAAGATGGCCTCCTGAGGAAACTTGAAGCTGAGAAAACAGAAGCGGCGGAAGCAGCGGAAGAAAGGTAGGAGCAGAGGGCTGTGCGTTTCAGAGCCCCCGTGCCCCGTCCTCAGGACACCTTGTGATCTCCCCGTGTCCCTTTTCCTGGGCCCCAGTCCCTGTTTGAGACGCGTCCGTGTACCGGGTTGTGATTAGGTGTCCTTGTGAGATCCTCCCTTGAGCCCATCACAAACGTGAGCCGTCGGCAGAGTTTGGTGTCGGTGTGAGCCCCCAGCTCTAGACCCGGCCCGCCGTCACCCATGCTGCTCCGCTCTGTCGCAGGCCGGATTGCTGCAACAACAGCGGCTTGGGTCCCGCGAGAGGGCACAGCGACGCGGTGTCGGGCCACAACGGGGAGACCAGGCCCCCCCGACCTGGCAGCACCCGGGGCAGCGGCAGCAGCAGCAGCGGCAGCGGCAGCGGCAGCAGCCAGCTCTCCACCCCCGAGAAGCCCCCGGCCCAGCGGGCAGGCCCGTTCAGCAGCCGCTGGGAGACGGCCGTGGGCGAGCCTTCCGCCAGCATCCCCGCCACGGTGGGCTCCCTGCCGAGTTCCAAAAGCTTCCTGGGCATGAAGGCTCGAGAGCTGTTCCGGAACAAGAGCGAGAGCCAGTGCGACGAGGACGGCGTGACCGGCAGCGGCCTCTCTGAGACGCTCAAGCCGGGCGTGGACGCGGGCGTGGAGGCCAAGACCCCCCTGAGCCCCGACGGCCCGCGCCCCGCGCCCCCCAGCCCGGACAGTGTGGGGCAGCTGCGCATCATGGACTACAACGAGGCCCACCAGGAGCACAGCTAAGCTGGCCAGTCAGTGTTAACCAGGCCTGAGGCTTGGCGGGGGCGGGTGTCCGGGGCGCTGCTCCCGGCCCGAGGCCGGCCCAGGGCGGAGTGGGTGGAGGCCTTCGACAGCTGCCCGAGTGCGGAACGGTTTTCGGATCTGGCGTGGAAACGCCTCTTCCCTCCCCCTCACTGACCTCGCAGCGTGTACTAACCGAGGGCCAGTTTGCATTCCTCACGCTTGGTTTTCTTCCTCCCCCCGAGGTTGTGCCCTTTGAACCAGTGCAATATGAGGCCAAACTCCTCTAACCACTCCTCCCTGCAGCCGGAGAGCTGGCTGCGCGTTAGCCAGTGCAGGTGCGCCCTCGCCAGGAGGCAGCGTGTCAGCTGGCGTTTTGCTGGTTTGGTCTGAAGTTCAGCATCTAAGTCAGTGGGTTAAAAGAACAACGGTTCAGTCCCCTCCCGTCCTGGCGGCTCCGATAAGCTCCCTGGAGGGTCTGTGAACAAAGGTCTGTTGGGAAGTCGGAGCTGGCGCTGCGGGGACCGGGTCTCCCCTTCGGGACGCTCTGTCCCCTTCCCCACTACCTCTTATTTATTTGGTGTTTGCTCGAAAGCTGGTACTGGTCTGACCACAGGCTGGTGAGGGGCACACCTGCTGTCTGCAGGCAGAGGGGGTGGGGAGGAGCCGCCTCGGGCAGGGCTGTGCTGGCCGAGCCTGGGTGGCTGTCGGTCCATGTGTCCTGGGCGCCTGTGCCAGCTTCTCTGTGGCTGCAGCAGGGCGGCTCTGATGGCCCGAGCTGCCTCTCAGCCCACACGACCTTGTTGCTCGGGGTTCAGCGCTCCTCACTGAGTAGGCTCCAGGCCACCACAAAGGTGACGGCTCTTACACCGGTTCGGGGACCCCCGGCTGCCGCCCAGTGTGCTCGGGCAGCGGCCCGGCCAGAGCGCTGGCTGGCAGAGTGGAACTCGGCAGATGCTCCTGAAATAAACGCCGGAAGCCTGAGAATTCTTGCCTGGTGTCCAGTGGGGAGTGGGGGGGGGGGCAAAGCCTGAGGGGGGCCGCCGGGGGAGGGGGGAGCGAGGACACACCGCTGCTTTCTGTGCTCCGAGTCGCAGTCGGCCACAAGGAGGGAAAGGCACCTCTGGGCGGGGTGTCTCCCGAACCTGGAGCTCCGCACAGGAGCTGGGGGTGGGGGTCTCTGTCAGAGGGGGACAGACGCCCTGGCATCCCTTCACCAGGGGCCCGGGTGCGAGAGGCCCGAGTCCCATGCAGGGAGCTGACCTCGGGACCAGGTCTGCAGGCGTGACTGGCCCCGGCCTGGGAGAGGCGGTCAGTGGGCCCGGCACTGCCCGTTAGCTGCAGTGTCCGAGGAAGCGGGCCACCCAGGACACTCCAGTGCCGGGCTCAGCCTCGGGGGAGCAGAGCTGCAGGGCAGCTGGCCCGTTCCGAGGCCCGTCCTGAATGCCTGTCCGCGCACACTCAGAAGATGGGGAGAGCGGGTGGTTTTGTCACTGCGTGTCCCCCACTGGCCGGCAGGGAGGAGGCCCGTGGGAGAAAAGAGGACAGTTCTAAAAGTGGTAATGGTAAAAGTACAGGGAGGCGGGGGCAGCGAGGGGAAGGGCTGAGGCCTGGGCAGAGGCTCCACGGAGGTCTGTGCTGGCCCCTGGCCTGCCCTCCCGCCCAGGGTCTGTCTGCCCAGCTCTGCAGCAGCCCTGACCCGAGGAGCTGATTCTGGGGCCCTGGGTTCTACTCCCCTGAGGCTTCAGGCTGAGGCCTGGAGTCACGTGGAGTGACCCCGCCAAGGGCCAGGCTGTGGAGTGCAGTGGCCCCGGCCAGCAGCTCGGTGGGGCTGGGAGGAGGCGGGCCTTGCACCTGGGGGGGGGAGGGGAAGACTGCCTAAACACCTGGTAGATTGGCCCTGGCCTTTCTGTCTTCCTGGGGACGAGCTGGGGCAGGACCGGGGGAGCCCTGTCAGGCAGTGCCTCTGCTGCTGCCCCTGGGAAGGCTGCTCTGAGTTTGGAGGGGGCAGCAGCGCCCCCGAGGGGGGTCTGGAGCACAGGACGGCCCCGGCCCCTGCGTCTCGGCCGCCTGCTCTGTCCGGGGGCCGCTCTGCGAGCGGTTTCGCTGGCAAGGCCTCTGTCCCGGGTGCTGGGTCTCGGGATAAAGGCGTTTCCTTTAGAGACAAACCAGGAGGCGGCAGCACGTGGGGAGGAACACTTTTATTCTTGCCGCAGCCCGAGGAACAAGAGCACAGACTAGGTCGCCCCCTGCGGAGGAAAGGCCGCCGTCAGGGAGGCCTCGGTGAGGACCAGGCGCCCGGGCAGGAGGTGGCGCGTCCCCTCTGCGCTGTGTCCAGAGGCCGGCGCCCAGCGTGCCCCACAGCAGCCTGGGAGGTGGGACAGCCGCGGCTCCCCGGCCAACAGCTCAGCTCGGCTGGCCGGCGGAGAGCTGGACCTGCAGCCGGGGGCTGGCCGAGGGGGTGCGGGCAGCCAGAGCCCTGGCTGTTGGCCAGCCTCCCTGGGACCCCGCCCCCCCACCAAGTGGGGCGGCTCTTCACGGCCCGGAGCCTGCCCTCCAAGGCGAGGGAAAGTTAGAAGTGAAAGCAAGGGAGGGGGCGAGGGTCTCAACAATGCAGGTGTCCCCCCAAAGGTATACACACTTTGAATAAGTATTCATTCCAGTGGCTTAGATCTGGAAGGGAATAGACATCCATTGAGCAGCTGGTAAAGCGTGTGCAGCCCATCCCATGTGGCTCAGTGGTTGAGCGTCGACCTAGGAACCAGGAGGTTCAACTCTGGTCAAGGGCACAGGCCTGGGTTGCAGGTTCGATCCCCAGTGGTGGTGGGGGGAGCGTGCAGGAGGCAGACAATGATTCTCTCTCACTGATGTTTCTCTCTCCCTCTCCCTTCTCTGAAATCAATTTAAAAAATATATCTTTTAAAAGTGTGTATACATTTTGAGGGGACACCCTATATATTGGGCAGCCCCCTTGGGGTTAATGAGTGTCAGAGACAGTGCCACTGAAAATGGGGCGACCACTAGACACTGAGTTTAGTGACAGCACCCCTCGGCGGGGCGGGCGGGCTGGGCGAGGTCACTGGCTCTGGGTTACAGTTTCCCACCAGGGGGTCTCCAGGGAGGTTTTGAGCACCCCTGGTCTGCCTCCCTGGGCTTGAGGCTGCCTTTTATAAGTTGCCTGCAGGGCTGTTCTGTACCGTGGTCCCGGGTGCCTGTGGCCTTGGCAGAAGGCAGGGGGGCCGCGGGGGGCCCCGGCGCGGGGGGTCCCGGTGCGGGGGGCCCCGGCGTGGCGGGCCCACTCACGTGCTGCAGCGCTTTGCGGGGCAGCTTCTCCGAGTGGGCGATCCATTCTTTCATCAGGTCCAGGATGATGGGGATGAGGCTGACCACGCCCCCGTAGTGGTTCCTGGCCTCGTCACAGCTCAGGTGGTTCACCACGTCGTGGGGGTACCTGCTGGGCAAAGGGGCTGTGAGCCCCGCTGGGGGGCTCCCCGCACTGGCAAGCGACTGCCTGCCCGCGGGGAGGGTGTTTGAGCCTGACCTCCCTCCGCACCGCCGGGGGGAGGGAGGGTGAGTCCGGTGCACGCAGTGCGCGGGGCACCCCGTTCAGATGCTGTGCGTCAGCCACTGGGGACCCCGAGCCCCAGGTGGTCCTGGTGGGAAGGAGTTGGCAGGACCTGGAGGCCTGGAGGAGGGGCTGTGGAACCTGCTCCAACAGCTGCAAACCACACTGTGTCCCTGACCCTCCTCCGGAGCCTCTCAGCAGCCCCCTGAGACCTGGGACTCTGGGCGGCGGGTCCCGGGGCTCCGAGTTCCCATCGGCTTCACCACATCAGACGCAGCTGCCTCCCCACAGAGGCCCTCCTCCCCGTTCCTCCCTGTCCCAGCCCCTCCTGGCCCACGCCCAGGCTCGGGACCAGGACCGGTGGGACCTACTTTGCTCTCAGGCTGCTCAGGTCGTTGCTTTGGCTCACTAAGGTCTTGCATTTGTCCAGGAAGTTGTTGGTGACCGGGGTGCCTGTGTGCAGGGTCTCGAAGCGCTGGCAGAGCCTGCTCAGCTCTGTGCAGATGTCCAGGAACATGAGCAGGATGCGGTGGTCCGTGGAGTTGGTGCAGTAGTGCTCCATGTAGCTCTGTACCTGCGGGTGGCACCGTGAGCCAGGGGCGAGCAGGAGCCGCCGGCGGCTGCAGGGCAGTGAGGGCGGCAGGGGCCGGGCTGCAGGGCAGTGAGGGGCGGGCAGGAGCTGGCGGCTGCAGGGCAGTGAGGGGCGGGCAGGAGCTGGCGGCTGCAGGGCAGTGAGGGCGGCAGGGGCCGGGCAGCAGGGCAGGGCGGTGAGTCAGCTGCAGGCAGGAGCCTGGGCCCTGCTCTACGGGACAAGCGTCCAGCAGCCCCTCGGGCCCTCCGGCTCCCAGGGCCACGGGGAGAGGCAGCTTGTGACATCTGAAAGGCAGACACCACCCAGCTGGCTGCCTGCAGGGCCCAGGTGTGGGGACAGCATGCTGAGCAGCCACGGGTGCTTCCTGCTCTCACCCCACACCTGGAGCTTCACGTCCTCACTAATCAGCGAGCATTGGCGGCTGGGAGCGCCGAGCCCGGCCTCCCCAGGCCCCTGACCTAAGCCTGAGCCCGAAGCCAAGGGCTGGTCCCGGCTGTTCATGCCACAGCCCCCCTCTGGCACCCGACTGACGCCCTTCGCGTCTGTCCCATGCCCAAGCTAGCGGAGCTGAGGTGACCCGCCGCGGGGAAAGCTGGCCACCTCCCCACGGACAGCCCCGCCGGAGGCACCCTGCAGCCCGAGCCCAGACAGACTGCGCAGACGCAGACTGGGGACCCCTCCCTCCAACGCCGGGAGGAACTGGCTCCATCCAGGTGGGACTCCCTGCCCGGTTCTCCTCAAATAGTTTCCCCTCTCTCCGCGGCCCCAGGGGAGGGGCACCCCACCGCCCAGCACCCACGAGTTCTCGGTCTGGACCCGGCTTCCTGTTGTTGCTCGAGGGTGTCTTCTCACCCGACCCCACATCCTTCCCACGTGCGGGGGCTCTCAGGGCGGCCCAGGCTTTGGCACCTCAGCCCAGGCCCCACACCTGCCCCACACCAGCCCCAGAGAGGGGCTGGGGGAGTTGGTGGGTCATGGACGAGCCTGGGCAGCGCTGTAAGCACAGAGCTCACTGGCCGCCCACTGTGTGTGTACCCCGTGGAGGGCGGGCTGGGAGTGGGGAGCTCACACATCAGGTGGAGGATCAGATTGTGGGGCCACTTATACCAAAAGCCTCCGCTGAGCCCAGCCCAGGTGAGTCTCCCGTGCTCCTCTGGGGACAGAAGTCCGCCCGGTGCTGAATGGCGGGCCTTGGAGGGTGGGCTGGCAGGACGTGGGTCAGGCCGTGGGCCGGAGGCACCCAGGCCAGGCTGAGCATTGCGCGTTGGTGTGTCTAGTATCTAGTACAGTGGCCGGCAAACCACGGCTGGTGAACCACATGCGGCTCTTTGGCCCCTTGAGTGTTCTGACGCCACTTCTTCAAAACAGACTCGCCCAGGCCAAACGCCGGCTTCTGCGCGCGAGCCACGAACACACTGTATTTTGTGGAAGAGTTACACTCAAGGGGCCAAGGATGGGGACCTTTTCCCTGCCAAGCGCCCTGTGGATGTTTATCACATCATTCACAGGTGATGCAAAACCATCAACTTCAAAATGAGCTGCTCTATTGGCCAGGCGTTCCCGAACTCACCCAGAAGGCCTTGCAGGTCAGGGCAAAGGGCTTCTCGGGCCTCCTCCGCCAGTTCCCGCCCCTCCACCCCGGTCTAGGTCGTGTGCGTGTTCATTTTCCGTAGCCTTAAGTTTTTTCCCGTTAAAGAACCGGGAGAAATATTTACAAAAATTAGGGGAAACTGTTTTAAGGGGTGCTGCCAATAGGGGGAGCTGTTCTCCATGGGAGAGGGGTGGATGGGATGAGGATCTGGGTGTATGTTCCTGACACAGAGGCTCAAGCCATAACTTCCCGGAGCGAATCGGGTGCCCGAAGCCCCGAGGCCCGCCAGTCCGCACACACAGGAGACATGGGTTAAACGGAAACGCCCGTGCTTGGACCCAGTGGAGCCGGCAGCGGGCACCTCCGGGTCTGTCCCTCAGTACATCCTGTCCCGGCCCTGGGTGTGTTCCGAGGGCCAGCTCATTCGTCCGCAGAAACGGAGGCCCAGAGAGGTGGTCACTGGCCCCGTCACCGAGGAGGCCTGGGGCAGAGGGGGAGGAGGCCCCGTTGCTGAGCCTTGAGCCCACATTTGTACCCCCTTTGTTCCGGTCGCCCCAGCCCTGAGGCTGGCACGTGCTCCCCCTCTCGGCCTCAGTGCTTTTCATGGTTCCAGCAATCTCCAGCCTGGCAAGGCCCCGGTCCCGGCCCACCCTGCCCGCACCCCCCGGCCCGCCTGGGGGAGGGGGGTCACCTGCTCGATGCTGGCGATGGGCCGGATCTTGTCGTGGGCATTCTCCCGGCAGTGCTCCAGCGCCCCCACGAAGGTGAACTGCTGCTGCTGGAACAGCTTGTACTTCTGCTCAATGCTCCGCAGCGCCTCCTTCGCCTCGTTCATGGTCATCCTGGCTCCTCCGCCGCCGGGGTCTGGGGGAAGAGCGAGCGCTGAGCACTCACGGGCCCCACATCCTGGGCAGGGACTGCTGTCACCCCACTTTGTAGAGAAGGGAGCGAGCCCCTCCACGAGAGAGCTGGGCCCGTGGATCGCACGAGGACACAGCCTTTGCCATGACATGTGACTTCCTTCCTCCCCGAGGATGGCAGTGCCTGTCCAGACTGAGTGTCTCACACACACATACACACACACACACACTCACCATGCACACAAACATACACACACACTCACCATGCACACACACACACTCACCATGCACACAAACATACACACTCACCATGCACACACACACACTCACCATGCACACAAACACAAACACACACTCACCATGCACACAAACACAAACACACACTCACCATGCACACAAACATACACCTGTGCGCACACGGCCTCCAATGCCTCGTGGTGTCAGCACAAGCTGGGATCAGGACGTGTGCCCCGGCCTGTGAATTCTGAACCCATCGGCTCGGAAAACATCTGCCATTTGCGGGGTTCTCTGCGGTGGGCCAGGCAGGGGCGGGGCCAGCCCTGGCGGACAGTTCCCAGTTCTGACCTCCCGGCTGGCCCCTGCCCTGCCTCCCCCACCCACCCGATTGGGAAGGGAATGGGAGGGGAGGGCTCACTCAGGGAGCGGAGAGGCTGTGGCGGGCTCTGCCCTCCGGGCATCATCATTTTGCTGAGCACACTCGGCGTGGGCCAGGCCACCGGCTTGTGGGATGTCAGAGTTGGAAGGGGCCTCAGCAGATCAACACCCCTAACTTCCCGTGAGCCGGAGGGACACTAACTCCCAGGATGTCACAGCAAACCTGCTCTACAGACCCTCCCCCCATCCCTCCAAGCTCCAGGCTGCCTGCGGGCCCAGCTGCATCCTCGAAGCTGCCACGGCAGCTGGGGTCCCAGCACACCTGGAGCCTGGCCTGGAGGTGGAGCGGGGTCCGAGGCTGGGCCGGAGGCGGATCCCAGCGAGATGCTGCGGGGAAGGACAGGTCAGGAGGACACAGTCCAGGCCTCCGGGCAGGTCCCAGCAGAGAAGTGGGGGCAGGTTGGAGCTGGGGGTTGGGGGGCGTTTTTGCTGTGTGGCCCTCAGCACCTGAGCCCGGAGCAGAGCTGGGCCAGGGAGGGCATCTCTGGGGCAAGAGGAGATGGCGTCCTGATGGAAGGAAACGCGAGCACAGACAGAAGACGGCTCCGTCGGGGAGGAGGGGCAGTGAACTAGAGAACCGGGAGGCTGGGAGGCGGCCAAGCCCTGGGCGGGAGCTGGACCGCAGCCAAGTGGCCGTCAAGGATCAGCGGCAGAGGGGACCCTGACCACTGCGCCCCGTGAACGGGCGGTCCGCTGAGAGTGCTGGTATAACGAATGCACTTCACGGCAGCGGCCAGTCTGCCCGGGCGCCATGGTGCCGGTGTTTGCCAACAGAGCCGAGTTGGACCGCCCACCCAGGGCCAGGCCACCTCCTCCCCCTCAGCACTGCCCCGTCTGAGGGGCACAGGTGGGGAGCCGGTGAGGGGGGCCCCTGTGTGCTGACCGCCTGCCGCATCCTGCAAATACCTGCACCCACACCTGGAGGCAGACCCCGGTTACTGTTGTGCCTCCCCTGGCCTCAGGCTCCCCGGGCCCGGCCTAGCGTGAGGGGGGCAGGAAGGATCGGGGAGTGGAGTGGTTTAGATCAGGGCGCAGCTAATGAGGAGGAGGAGGAGGAGGAGGAGGAGGAGGAGGAGAAGCCAGGGAGCGGGAGGGGGTGTCGGGACCCAGGGGCGTGTGCAGGTGCCAGGGCCTTATCCTGATCTTCCCCGGGCCACGGGCTGCTTGGTGGGGCTCTAGAACCCTGGACATGCCCAACCTCAAGTCCTCCCCATGGCCCTGTGAACAGGGCGCCCCATGATGCTCCTGGCAGATGATGGAGCTGAGGTCACCCCAGAATCCCTCCCACCCCCCCGCCTGACTATAACTTCTGGGCTCTTGACTGTGATGTCTCCTCCTCTCGGAGATGGCCCACAGAGACCTCAGGGTGGCTGTGGGAGGGGGTGGGGGGACACCCAGGGCCGGAAGTCTGCCTGAGCCCTCCGAGGGGTCGTGCACTAGCTGGACCCCTGGGCCTTGCTTCCCCCCCTCACTGTTCTCTGCTCCTCGCTCCAGGCAGCGAGGCCTGGCTCCCTGCCACGCCCCGGGGCGCCAGGCCGCGGGGATACAGCGCCGCCTTGGCTGGTGGCCCCCAGAGCCCCCAGAGGAAAGCTGGGGGAGCTTGATCCCGGCGGTGACACCGCCCGCAGGGCGGAGGGAAGCGCTGTGACAAGCTTCCGAAGTGATCGTCCCGGACGCGCCGCTGCCGCCAAATTAGCGGGGATGAAAGACCCCTCGGGTCCGGAGTGGGAGGAAATGATCCCCCGCAGGTTTCCGGCTGTAATTGATTTGTATTTTCCCAGGCTGCTGAGGAAGATTACGCCGAGGCAGGGAAAGCGCCTAGGGCCTCAAATAAATGAGGGAGGCAGCGGCTCAGAGATGTCCAGGAAGCAAACCCAGGCTCTCCGCGCACATCGCAGGCTTGGCTCCCGCCACCTCCGCTCGGGGGCTGCCTTTCCTCCCCGGGTCCCTGCGGTCGGGTTTGACAAGCCCCCGAGGTCTGCGCGCTTTGAGGACGCCGTTCCGACGGGGAGGCAGGACTCAGCCCTTCCAGCTTCTCGGGGGCGGCGACTGGTGGCAGAGGCTTTGGCTAGGAGGCGGGACGCCGAGTTCCAGCCCTGGCTCTGCCCTTGATGAACAAGTGACCTTGGCTGACGATGGCCCGTTCTGGGCCTCAGTTTACCCAGCTCCAATACGAGGGGATTGGGGTTGGAGGCTCTGCAAGGGGCTTTTGGGGTCGCATGCTCTGTGATCCGCGGAGGAGGACAGAGGCCTGGGAACTTGTCCCAAATCACACAGCCACGTCTGGGGTGTCAAATGAGAACTCGGACCGGTTCCTCAGGGTTGGTGCAAGGGTGAGGTGAGATCATGCTAACAGTAGCCCCTGCATGTGCCCTGACGGTGCCAGGTACTGTCTAACCTTCAGCTGTATGAGCTCCCGGGGTCCTTCCGGCAACCCCACTCCACAGGGAAGGCAGGCGAGGCCCAGGGCAGGCTCCCACAGCGGGAAGAGGGAGTGCACGCGGGATCTGAGCCCTGGGCAATCGGGGTGGACTGGCCTCGCGCCCTCTCCACAGTGGCACGCACCCCGGCTGAGCGCGGAGCTCAGAACCACAGCGACAGCTGGGGCTCCCAACTCAGGGCTGCGCCCCATCCCGCCTGGTCCCGTTCCCCGGGCTGGACGCGACCCCCAGGGCCGCACCCTCCCCCTCGGGGGGCCCCCTGCACCTGCGCGCCCCTCCGGGTTCCGAACCTGGCGCGTTAGCCTGTGCTCGTCTACCGCGGCCTCACTCCGATCGCCCCGAAGCCGGAGTGCCTCCGTGGGTGCTGGGCCCGGGAGAAGCGGGAGGCGTGGAGGCCGTGGGGTGTCGGTGGGGAGGTCGCGGTGAAGGGGCGGGGCCGGCCAGATTGTTACCGCGGGGCCATAGCAACGGGTCACGTGGCCTCCCGCCCCGCCTCCGGAGCGGGCGGCGGGGGCGCGGGGCTCAGAATTTCCCCGGGGAGCCTGGCCCTCCAGGCGGCCCTATGGGCTCTCTTCCCTCTTCAGACACCCTCCCCGACCCCGTGTCTCCATGTCACAGATGGGGAAACTGAGGCCAGAGAGCCCAGCGCCCGGGCCGGGAGCGCAGGATCCGCTTGGGCTCACCATGTGCAGCTGAGCGCGCGGAGCTCCGAGCCCGGGGCCGGAGCAGGACCCGCTTCTGCCCTCGGGGAGGGTCCGGGGCTCACAGCGGGGGTCCGCCGGGCGCCCCTCGGAGGCCACGGCCGGGAGCGCCCCGCGGGGCCCGCTGACCCGCGCGGAGGGGAGGGCGCGGCGCGGCGCGGGAAGCACCAGCCCGGAGCGCGGGGCCAGCACGCGGCGCGCGCCGATGACGTCGACGGCGTCCCTAGCGACGGCGGTCACCAGGAAGCGGCGCGCGGGTGACGTCAGCAGGCGGCTGCCTTAGCAACGGCGGTCGTTAGGGAGCGGCGGACGCGGCAGCATGGACGCGACCTCCGCCCCGCACCGCATCCCCCCGGAGATGCCGCAGTACGGGGAGGAGCACCACATCTTCGAGATGATGCAGGTGACCCGGCTGCTACTCGCGAGGCTTCCCGGCTTGCGGTGTCTGACTCCTGTGCCGCCGTGACCCCAAGCCGTCCCGCCATCTGAAGGCCCCCACCCCGCGGACCCAGGGGCAGGGAAGGGGCGGGGCAGCCTGACGCGGCTGGCTCCTGGCTCCCGCCAGCAGCTGGATGGCCGGGAGCAGTCCCTTCCTTTGCTCGGCCCCCACCTGCCAAAGGCGGGGCTGACAGGGGTGCATTCCAGAGGGCCCTGCGGTGGTGTGTCCGAGCTCACATTGGCATCCCATGCCCATGCCCCTGCCCATGCCCCGAGATAGCCGCCTCCTGGGACAGCTGCGCTTCCCACCTGCCCTCCTCCTCAGTGCCAGGAGCTCCTGGCTGCTCCCAAGCTCCTCCTGTGACCTTAGTCCCCAGCGTGTGCTGCGGGTGACCCTCCTGCATCTGCTGGAGATCCAGCCACACAGACTCTGAGGGCCGAAGGGCCGCTGAGCCCGTGCCCAGAGCTTGTGTCTGCTCCACTGCATCTGCCCACCCCCACGGGCACCATCGAGATGCCTGCGGGCAGGAAAGCCGAGCTCTGACAGCCCGAGTCTCTGTCTCTCCAGCAAGCCTGTGCTTCCTTGGGAAAGTGTTAACTGATGGGGCGGGGGAGAGAGAGAGGCCAGCTGTCCCACTGACTGACTGCCTGGCGCCGGGACAGGGTGAGGCCAGGACAGGACACATGGGACCGCAGGAGCGAGTGGCCAGGAAGGCAGTG